AACGCAATAAACTTCACAGTATCATCCATTTCAATTAAGAAAAAAGGAATTTAATTGCAAATGGCGTGCACGCGATAATTGCGAACAATCTGACGATTTGCGATGCGTGAGTACACTATGCTGAATCCACACGAGGTTTACCTGGGCCTCAATTCTGCTTTTTTATGTTCACGCCAAGCCACTGTCATACCACTGACACGCTATTGAGATGCCATCGTATCGCCAAAAAAACGAAATATATTTTCAAATTATAAGGAAAAGATTTATTTATTTTTCCAAATATGGCAATATTTTTGATATCACCACTGATGAGCCACTGCCATTCCATCGCCACTGTAAAGACACTGAGTTAGTGTAGACTATTGATATTTATATCTATGCCAATGGCCACTCAATAGCGTGTCAGTGGTATGACAGTGGCTTGGCGTGAACATAAAATAGCAGAATTGAGGCCCTGGGTTCTTGTAATGGATATAACATGACACCAAGTGCTTCAACTAAGTGGGTGTTACATTCAATGTTCGGACTTCGTACAGTAATACATAATAACGATACTTATGTAGGACTATCTCGTATAAGAACATAGTAGTGTACGCATGGTGCTCGTCAAATTAAGTATGAAATAAGATTGTTAAATACTATATTCCTTAGGTAATAATAATATTCTACCACATTCACACAACGCCATCTAGGTGTGTTTGAATATTAAAAGTAGATGATTTGGCAATGTCTTAACTCATTATTTCATAGAAATTATTAAAGCACTGTTCGTTTCGACGTTTAATAAAGAGAAGCTTATTTGACTTAACACTCTAATATAATATTAAGTAAAAACTTTTTACATAATGACGCAAATTCAAAAAACTGATTTACACTGTAGTTATTTAGAATAAAAGATAAACACAACTGATTTCAAACAATCTATAAAAGGATATATAGTATAAGATTGATGAACCGAAATCTGCTGGCATCTGCGGTGAATTTGCAGTTTGCTTTGTAGCCTAAAGTTTTTAACAAATTACGATCTGAGGGCGAGCGCGCCCCTTACAATCGCTCTACTAAAGTAATAACGAAACAATTTGACCTACATCGAGAGAGGGTGGAACTTTTGATAGATATATGTCTCTAATTAAATAGACGACTCCCTGATTTTCAAACGACAAAAATCTTCTGTCAGACAAACAATCGGTTTTAGGGCAGGCAAGTGTACAGAAGATGCAGTTGCCCTGCTGACAGATACGGTAACATCACCCTTGAATGAGAACAACCGCTGCTTAGGAGTATTCCTCGACCTCGTCAAGGCATTTGATACTGTGTCTGTTCCCATACTTTGGCGGAAACTAGAAGGGAAAGGGGTGAGAGGCAAGGCATTGGACTGGTTTTAAAGCTACTTAACAAAACGTAGTCAGTATGTAAAGGTAGGCACTAATATTAGTGAATCATTATTACCAGCGTGGTATAGTAGGCCAAAACCTCCTTTCTAAGGAGAGGCCTATGTCCAGCAGTGGACTGTTAAAGGCTGTTGATGATTAGACATTAACGTGGGAGTACCACAGGGAAGTGTAATAGCAGCAACTCTATTCTGCATATACATCAACGATATTCCACGATATATATTTCACGATTCAACTCTCAACTGACTTTAATTTTAAAATAATGCGAAAAAAGAAATTTTAAATAAAAGCACGACATTATAATAATTACGATATTAAAGTGCTATTTACATTGGTATAAGAGTCAGAAGGATATTAACCCGATGGGCGTGATAAAATGAATTCAGTGGTCGTTTTAATTTCACGCTCGGTGGCTTCGAGCCTCGGCAGTGCTCCAAGGTGTAATTGCTCCGCGGACACGATCTACGGCTTTTTGTGCAGTGAACCAGAAAAAAATAACGTAAAATTGATTTTGAATTACCATGTGGTCCGGCAGATTTCTTGTACCATGAAGTAGTAAAGATTTATATGCAAAGTGTCGGACTTGCGATCAAGGGCCTGCGGGTTCAAGTCCCACCCAGTGCACTATCGACGTGAACTTAAGCAAGCATTTAATTTACCTAGAGAGATTTATATAAAATTAGTAATGTATGACGTTTTTTTCACACTATAGTGATTTATTATTATCTTAAGATAGAATTACTCGAAAAGCAAGCAGCAACCATACAAGCTCTGTCCCGTGAAAGTAGTTTGTTTATACGTTGTATAGTCTGGACTCTTTATTACAGAGAACAAAAGCATAGGCATCCCATAAATAAGGTATTTTATGGTAAAAACAATAAAGTTTTTGTACACTAAGCACTATCTGACTCTAAAGGTTGTCAAAAGGTTTTAAAGTCTGAAAGATAAACTTAAATGTGATAAAAATGTCCGTGTAGTGACGGATTAAGAATACGGAATGTCACTACCCCAATTCATCCCGTGGGTGTCGTAAGAGCCGACTAAGGGTGCAAAACAACACAGTCCTGTGTTTTTCCCACCAGCATTGCAAAGAGAAGCAAAACTTGACACAAACCCTATACCAACCTGTCTGGCCAGCGTGGTATAGTAGGCCAAAACCTCCTTTCTAAGTAGAGGCCTATGTCCAGCAGTGGACTATTAAAGGCTGTTGATGATGATGGTAAGTTAATACCTACATCGTATTATGTACATACATAATATATAAATAGTCCACCTACACGTGTTAGATGGTAGTACATGTTGAATTGCAACAATTAATTTAATCGGGCTTTTGATATCAATTCATTTTATTTTAGGCTTTCGATAAACATACTAGAAGCTGTGTATTAAACTAATAATATGATATCATCATTATCTAAATTTAAAAATAATACGTTACTTTACCTCTAAAATAAGCTTGCCGCGGCTTGTCAATTTAATCATAAGCGAAACTGAGGGGACCAAGGTTTCCGGACAATCTCCCTTAATTAACAACAGCGTTAAATACCTACTGAACTTTCGGGGATAAAAGACGAAGTATGTGTGTGTATGTACATACGTTAACGATAAACAAGTGTGCATTTCTGTCAATTGTATATGTAGTTGACCTAATGATGAGTTACATTAATAATGTCGGGTCTCAGAGAACCGGCTTGCGTCAACAAAACGAACAACACTCCTGTCCGCCGTATTTTGTAAGTCGGCGCAATTATGTTGTAAGCGACCATCGTTAAGCAAGCTCTTGCAACTAATTCTAAAAAGTTTATCTGAATAATGAGCTGATGTCTTAATAAAATCGTGAAGAAAATTGCTATAGGTGCCCCTGGGTTAATTGTATGTAGATTATATGTATCCAATAATCTGCCAAACAAAAAAAAATGGGACTAGCAATTTAGTAATAGCTGGCTTATCGAATTGGATTTCGACTGCTTCGGTGGTGCAGTGGTAGCGTATGCGACTGCTGTGCTAAGGTCTCGGGTTCGATTGCCGGGTCAGATTAAATGTTTGTATGATCTGCAAATATTTGTTTCAGAGTTTGGGTGTTTTCTATGTATAATATGTATGTATTTACAAAAAAAAACAGTATAGAATAATTCTATCAGTCAATCTAGCTTTCAAAGTACAAGCTCTGCTTAGTTTAAAACTAGATGGCGTTGTGTGTCAGATATTCAAAATATTATAAAAAAAATATATTTAAACAGAGATTTATTTTTGAGAATATAGACTGAGGGCCAACTGCACCAGTGTAAAACCAAGGCTTCACAGGAATCCGGTGTTAAGGTATCCTTTCATTGCTTTACATCACGGATCCTCAAAAAATAGGGGCCGATTTTTAGACCTCGTCGACCCCCAAAATCAGTTTTCGTTTATATCGACCCCTGGGAAACCGATTTCGACCACTTTGGGAATCCCTGCTTTACACCGAGTAAGTGAGGTTACCAAGCCTTCCCTCCTTCCTCTTTGAGTAGCAGGTGTCAAAGGGCGATGCTGGTCACTACCTTCCGTCTGCTCGTGCCATAAAAAATACAGTCCACACATTGACAGGATCTCTAAATGTGTGTTATCATTCATATAAATAAATCCGTGTTTAGTCATCACTTCACAAGTTTTAAATAAATTGTTTAATATAATCAATCTCGACTGCTATCGGCCATATTACAACATATATGTAATTATAAATTATCAGTGTGTACAGACAAATAAGTTCCGTGCCATATAATTTAATAACATAATTATGTTATTAATTAATATTCTATTTGTTGTAGGTATATAGCTTTTATTATCGGTATAGACAATATATATCGATATGGGATGATGGTAGGTAGGTGGGAAAAAATAATATGGGCACTGATATCAACGCTAACGTATTTAGAATAAAATAAATGTTATTGCCAGTTTTTTTGTTACGGCACAGGAGGACAAACGAGCAGTCCTGTCATGTGATGGTAAGTGGGTGCCGCCACCTATAGGCACCTAGAATCAAGGGGACTAAATTAATAGCAAAATGTGGGGGCGTTTATACCTTTCTCCTTAACCCTTCGTCCCGTCTTGAAGTAAATGCTAGTTTGACTTGTATACATAAAAAAGACATTAAACATTACATTATAAAACGTAAACTTTAGTGTTATTAAGGGAAAAATACACAACAAAGAGAGGAAGTGCCACGCACGAACCGGCCGTAATGGTGTCAGTCATGTGTCACAATTATAAGGAGATTCACAACATTTATTACTTACGTTCATTTATCGTGTGATTGTTTGAGAATTAAGTTTAAAAAAAAACATCAAACAATAGAAAATGGGCGAAAATGGCATTATAATATTATATTCTTTACATTTATTGCCGGCAAATTAACATAATTTTGTCATAAAGTAATCCACACATGGCCAATTTTAGAATAACTGGTCATAAGAATTTTTAATAGTACCAGACAAGCGAATAAATAGACATAACCCGAAATATTCGAAGGTCACAGTTTTTATCTAAATCCTAAGTTATAGTAAAATAATGAAAAGTTTCACGTCAGATGGACTTTTATAACACATAATGGTAGCAATGAAAGACTGTTTAGCTTATTTGAACTGACCTGCTAGAATGGTCTTGGAAATTGCCACCGTCGAGCAAGCGGACCTTGGCGAATAGCACCGCGGAGACGAAAGGCACCTCGGTGAGCTCCTCCAAGCAGCACTGCACCCCAAACTTGTATCGCTTTTTCTTTGTCATGAAGGCCATGACGCCAACATCAGGCCCCGCGGCGCCGGCCCGCACTGTGTCAGACAACACCTCACAACACTGTTCAGTCACTTCACTTCACTTGCACTTCACTTCACTTCACATGAGTAATCAACCAATGTGTATATAAAATGTAAAAAATATACAAAAAGCCTATCTAAGTTGACTGTTTACTTTGGTATTGGCGTAGTTAACTTCGGTGCGGTATATCGGTAGTCGACCATCAGTCGCATAGCTGCCGGAGTCATTAGTCTGGAATAGAAAATTGATGGTTCAGCACATTAAGATAAAGCAGAAAAAAGCGTTTGGATAATACGACCGACTGTAATGTGCCATGAGCCGATGTCTCCTGATAGTGGGCTATTTTCGGCTGCAAAATTTGTATTTGGTTTTTGGACGTAATAAAAAATAGTGTGGTCCGATTTTATCTGCGACTCGGGCATTGAAGGTCAACCAGTATCTTCTTGTTTCGCAACAAAGATATTGTTAAAATACATCGTAATATTTAATAACTAAGGTAACCTCTTCAGTCTCAAGATTACTTTTTTTATGTCTTACTTATAAGTGATGCGCTGAAAAATATTTTAATAATTTGACACAGATATGAAACGTAAAGCCCACAAAGCCTTTTTTGTCAAGGAAAATTTCATGAAATCCCTAATTTAAGAGTGGTATTTAAAACTATCTGATATTTGTATATGTATTACGTACATGTGTCTGTAAGTGAAGGCGTGATGAAAGTAAGTTTAAACTAATAAATAAATAAGCAGAATAAATATATTTATCTGGTAACGCGTTATCAGCTCCAATCCACTGCAGTTTCATAATTTACAAAATATCATAGTTACAAAGCAATATATTTGCATGTAAATTGAAACCCCTTGCATAAAAATTATGCGTTTATATAAATATATTAAGTAATTCGCTTATAAGTTAACGAAATCTGGTAGAGATAAGTCAAAATCTGAAGTTGAAATTTTTTGAAATAATAATTAATATTAAATTCTACATAATTATTACAAAATCATTCAATGAATTCGCAACCGACGTATTGATTAGGGTCAACATTCCAACTTCCATCACGTGAATTCTACCGACTATCGTACCAGAAAGTATATCGCGAAAAAGCCGACAAAAAGCTTACTTATGTTTGGGATAAGACGGACGAAGATGTGTCAAATTATTATTATTTTTAGAGTCGGGTCCCTGTTCCACCGTTACAATAACATTACAAGTTTAGAAATAAATTTTCATAGTTAAAACACTGTATGGCAGACATATTTTCAAAACATGCCTGTTCATCTGGTGTGTAAAGCGCAACCATGACTGCGTTTTCGGCTCTGGTCATGTTTATGACACTAAAACTTTATAGAAACCATAAAAAACTAATATAAACTGCAACATTGCAGACATCTGCACGATTATCTATTATTATTATTATCGAGGCGCATGAGTCTACTGCATTCTACAGGATCCAGAGTATGAGTGTGTTAATAACTTATAGAAGGGGGGCCCTTGATGCTAAATGGGATCTCCATTTAGCATCATGGGCGTACTCGAACGTCATGGGGACCTATTGCATTTGAAAACTTAGGTAATAGAATGAATAAAAACTATATTATGTTGCCACTTTCAGCGCTGGGAAAACCTTCTACAGGTTTTCAAAAATGTAAGGGGAGGAAATCGAAAAAAAGAAATTCGGGGGCATCAGATATTTTGGGGATATGTTATTTGGACGCCAAAAATACTTCGATTGAAAGTTCTGACGATTTTAAAGTGACACAAGCTAGTAGCGAATTATCGAAAATGCAAACTGCAAATTCGAAAAATCGCCATTTCGATATACCCGAGCGTGTTAGATTTTATATAATCTGACGGTGTGATTTTTTTTTTTAATGTAACAAATAAATGCACGATAAATTCTTTAGACATCTATAAAATATTTATTTCATTGATTGCATCAAAAAAAAACAATGAAACGCTGAAATCGTCAGATTTTTTTCAAAACCCACTAATGTGTATGTAATTAACTCGACTTACCTTAATCTTACACGCTAGAGTATTTCTGGCCATCGATTTTTTTTTACTAATCTGATAGGGATTTACTAATCTGATGGTGGAGGCACTCAACTGGGTGTAAGGTATTTCTCCTATGTTAATCTGCCACGGTCGAGTGAGAACCCTTCTAGGACTCCCCTACTATTCTATAAGAAACTGTCAAAATAAATAAAACAATATTTATTAAGGCTTTTAAGGCTGACTTACCCTAAGTACGACTGTGATAGCACAAATAAAGTACTCACACTTGTAAAGGTTTAAATTTTATATGTAGAAAGCTAATATTAATTACATAATATGTTTATATGATACTTATTTGTTGCTGTAGTGTGTGGGTGTAGTTTATCTATTATATATATATGTGTGTTTGGAAATTTATAAGTATGTTTATCAGCATTCTGGTTACCATAGTACAGGCTTTGGCTAGTTTGGGATAAGACGGACGAAGATGTGTCAAATTATTATTATTTTTAGAGTCGGGTCCCTGCTCCACCGTTATAATAACATTACAAGTTTAGAAATAAATTTTCATAGTTAAAACACTGTATGGCAGACATATTTTCAAAATATGCCTGTTCATCTGGTGTGTGAAGCGCAACCATGACACAGCATCTGTGTTTTCGGCTCTGGACATGTTTATGACACTAAAACTTTATAGAAACCATAAAAAACTAATATAAACTGCAACATTGCAGACATCTGCACGATTATCTGGCTATAAAGAAGCCTTATTATGGCACTCATTTACCACTCAATACTCGTGTTTTCAAACGTGAAGCAGTCATTAAAAACTCATAAACTTGCAATGAAATAATTTTTAGAACTTGCAAAACACACAACTTGTAGAAATATATAATAAAATACTAACGGATGACACGTCACAGTAGAGTACAAAAATCAATAATCCATTTAAACTTCGTCACAATTAAATGTATTACGAACTGTTTTCGGCGTGAGCGCAACGATTCGATACGTCTGCGCACGAGCACGATTCCCGCGTGACTGTCTGTAGTTTTCAACGCGCAAGGACACTACATTTACACTCGGCAAAGTGCAAACTCATATTGAATGCGGTTCAACTTTAACCGACTAATTGTAAGATTATCCAGGTATCTTCAAGATTAGCAAAGACATGTGAGATTAGTTATTAACAATGGGATTAATTTTGTGTATTTATCTTGCAGACATGGTGACGTCAGATACAGATACATACAGTGTACTTTGGAAAGACAAAAAAGAAATGGAATTATGTGCTTAACGGAAAATTTCAGCTGTCAAATGAAATGACGCAAGGTGTACTCAAGTCGATTAGTGATAAGCATATTATACTTGGGATGCTGTACGCATAACAGCATCACAGATATACGTTAACTTTTTTATTATTATTATTATTATCTCACACATCTCACACACGGCCGTCTGATCCTAAACCAGGCAGAGCATGTACTATGGTAACCAGACTGCTGATAAACATACTTATATATTTATAAATACATATATAATATAGATAAATTACACCCAGACACAGAACAAATGATCGTGCTCATCACACAATTACTTGTCCTGGGTAGGAATCGAACCCACGACCTTCGGCTTAGCAGTCAGGGCCTCTAAACACTAGACCAACAGGCCTGTCACGGACGCTAACTGTGTCACAGTTGCAGTAGTAACTGCAAGATTATTCCCGTTACTATTGCAATTGTGACACAGTTAGCGTCCAGTCACTGCTTATTTAGCTTTAGCTTGCCAAAAACGCTGTCATTCAGAGCATTTAAACCAGAAAAAGATTATGAAGCAAAAACCGTGTATTAAAAATACTAAAAAGCGTAATAATGGTACAACATACGTGTAAAAATATCTCGGTTGGAACTGTTTAGGCTGCAGAGCTTGCCAAAGAATAAGACTATACATACTTACATACAGTCGAAACGCCCTTAGTGGGTAGTTTCAATTCGGTAAAACCAGCAAAATGTCGAGATTCTAAGAACTTATTTGTCAAGGAATCATGTAGGCAGTAGTACCTTAGGCGACTAGCAGAATACCTAATAGTGTAGCTTGACTACTATATTTGTGCGTCACTCAAAAGGAATAAATTTACACCTTTTTTTAACATTTTTAGGGTACCGTGTCTCAAAAGGAAAAAAACGGACCTCTTATAGGATCACTTTGTTGTCCTTTTGTCTGTCTGTTCGTCTGTCTGTCCCTTTAGACCCTTTATCTCGGGAAAGCGTGGAGGTATCGAGATGAAATTAAAACCATATACCCAGGTCTACAGTCCCTTCGAGCTGTGAAAAATCAAACGTCTGAGTTAAGGTCAAACAATGTCGTTTATGCCGCAAAAAACGCATATTTTGACACTCTCAAGGGAATCAAAATTTATAGGGTACTTCCCATTGATCTAGAACTATGAAATTTGGCAAGTAACATCGTCTTATACTACAAGTACAGGGCATCTTAAAACTATACATTTTTAATTAAATCATAAAAATATGGTCTTTATTTAAAGTATGTAATCAATCTTTGAGGTACAATTTCACTTATAAAACACAATAATATAAGTAATTATAGGTTTTTGAAACTGAATTTCGGGAAAAGCTCGGCAAAAAAACTGCGAGACTCGATTTCTGAACTATTTGTAATATGTACCTACAAATTTGTACCACCTTTCTACCACTCTCGGTGGGCGTGTCCAACTCACAATTGTCTAGATTTTTCATTGATCCTGGGCTCCTGTTAGCTATAGCGCGATGGCATATAGCCTATAGCCTTAGACGGGGATGTTAGTCTAGTAGTTAGTGATCCTGACAGCTAAGCCGCAGATCGTGGGTCGATTCCCACCCAGGACAAATATTGTGTGATGAGCACGATAATTTATTCTGTCTGTGTGTAATTCATTTATTTTTATTTGTATGTATTTAGAAATATATAAGAATGTTTATCAATAATCTGGTTACAAAGTACAAGCTCTGCCTAATTTGGGATCAGACTACCATGTTTGAGATGTGGGAAGTTATTATCACATAGCACAATTTTCGCCAATTTTATGTCTTCTTAATAATTTGCTACACACTACAAGTCATGGTCAATTTGAGTTGGCTGGTAATCACACACATACATGTGTGCCCAATAAGTACTAGGCAATTAGGTAGTGAAGACTATGGAAGTAATGTAAATAAAAGCGTTACTCACATGTTTGGCAAGGGGCCGGACGATCGCAGGATGGAACATTGCCAGTTCCGCCAAAACTTCTTACATTCCCTGAAACAAAATGACACGTCACATTAAAGATAACAGTATAATTATAACAACGTAAATAAAAATAATAAATCCATATGTTGTTTTAAAGTCCTATAGTTCAACGTTCAACAATGAAAGTTAGTTTGTCTGTTTATTTTTTAAGTCATGAATGTTGAACTGATCCTCACGTAATTAAGAATAGTTAATTTATAATAATTTAATGCAATATTTTTCACGTTTTTGCTACTTATTAGAATCGGTTTTGGAAATTGATTTAAAAATGGCATTGAGGAATATGAGAAAGTTTCCACAGAAACATTTTCTCTTTTAAAAAAGAAACATTTTTACAAAAATTACATCGACTCCTTAACCTAACTTTCAAAAAGAGACTAATTTAAAAACTTGATTAAGGTACATGTTGATAGAATACACACAGAACATAAACTGCTATAACTGGATCCGAGTCAATGGAGTATAAAACTCACAGCAACTGCCGACCTTGACTCAGGTATGCGAGCTCTCAATATCAATCTGTGTTCAAATAAACTGGTCCACTAAAAACGGTCGGCTTTTAATTTATTACTCTCGTAGAAATCTAATCAGAGGATGTACCTTTAATATAATAATAATAATTTCACACATCTCACACACGGCCGTCTGATCCCAAACTAGACAGAGCCTGTACTATGGTAATCAGACTGCTGATAAACATACTTATTTATTTCTAAATACATACATAATATAGATAAATTACACCCCGACACAGAACAAATGATCGTGCTCATCACACAATTATTTGTCCTGGGTGTGAATCGAACCCACAACCTCCGGCTTAGCAGTCAGGGTCACTAACCACTAGACCAAGAGGCCCGTCAAAGCCGATATTTGCCTCCTTTGTAAAGCGGAAAATCTGATATAATTCCAGCAATTGATTATTACATTAACTTTGGCGTGACCTCTCATTAACCTGCTGCGCACGCGCCTGTCCGCAATTTGCACCAATCTCAACCCACACAATGTACAATCAATCATACGTCTCACCTCTGAACTAATTTTAGACCTTTAAAATAAAAAGATCAAGGTACCATATTGTTTTTTCTGTAAATGATCTCATGGCATAAAGTGATGTATACAAAATATACACATGACTTTGACGAAATGTGTTTACGCATACCAATGCATATTGAAGGGAGCAATAAATGTAGACTGTGAAACAGCTGGAGATAAAGCAACTATCTGTTATAGACGTGTTAGTTCGTGGCATTTTGGCCTGGTGCCAACACTGAGGCTTCTTTAACATCACCTTGCCGTTTCAAGGTATCTGGTACTATAGTTCCTATGGGGAAATAATAGGTATATAGAGTTAATAATTTGATGAGCTATTTAGAAGATGGTATAATCTAAAATAAAAACAGTATACAATAAATAATGAATATACAATACACAATAATTCGTTCCGTGGGGTCGTAAGAGCCGACTAAGGGAAAAAACTACGCAGAACAACGGCACTGCAGAGAGAAGGAGAACTTGACACAAACCCTGTACAAACCCATCTGGCCAGCGTGGTATAGTAGGCCAAAACCTCTTTTATATCAATCAATCAATCATTTATTTCGTAAAACCCAGGTAAATTCAGATGTTACAAACCATATTTAAAAATATCGCCATGTTTCGCCAATAGGCATACAAAACAATAAAAGGATTCATTATTCCTGTGCAATACAACTGTTTAAAATCATGTAATCATATACTTATTCAATTCAATAAAAATAGATGTTGATTTGATCTCTTAATTAAATAACACACTGATATTGATAAATGATGATTAAATCGGGAAAAATGTTAAAATAATTAAAAATGTCAAACTAAATATGTCAAAATCATGAATAATCGAAAATGTCAAAATAATTAAAAGTTCAAAATTCTAAATAAAATGTCAAAATAAATTAAAATTTTTAAAACAATTAATAATTACAACGTCAAAATAAATGTCATGTACAAATACTTAATTATAAATACCTAATTAGGTATATACATAACTAATTGAAATCAAAATTTATCATTCAGAAATATATATTATAAGAAGTGGCTAATGTCCAGCAGTGGACTATTAAAGACTTTATTCCTTGATTTTCCTCAGTGCTAAGGTGGAGCAGGCAATTTCGTCAGAAAAAATAAGACAGGATTTTACAAATGTGTGAAGTTTTCTGTAACTAAGTTACAGTACAATTGAGTTCCCCGTATAACTAAGTAACTATCTATTTTTCTTTTTATCATATTTTTTTTACCAAACACACTCCTTTACTTTAAAAAAAGTTATGTTCAAGTAAAGTTATTACAATGATTTACTTACTAAGGGTAAGTACGGGGTAAATACGTCCATTTGAAATATATCCGCTATCTGTGAAGCTACGTACCGGAAACACATAGCTATAAAATGCTTACGATACTAAAAACGCGATTTTGAGTTGTATGACCAGGTAGGATGTACCAATTTCCAGCAAAATCACTTCAAAGCTTTTGTGGGTCTATTCCGTCAATTATTTACGCACGGAAAAAAAAGAAAAAAAGGGTTGGGATGTAAGAAGGTCGATAAATTGTACCTACTAATTACTCAAAAATGAAACAAGTTCGTTACTGGTGCATTTATAGTGTTCGCTATGGCTTAGTAAATAAATACAATAAAAAGGTTTTCCTTTGTAAATAAATTTTTTTAAGTATAATTAACCAACAATAATAACATACTTTTACGTTTTTTTTAAAAACTACTTGAAAAAAATAATTTTTCGCGAAGCGAAATGATGTAATTCAAATAATTTACGAGTAACGGGCGCCATTTATGATTTATAGATTGAATCTGCCCTTTCTCCATCCACTCAAGATGTCACTACCGCTCAAGAGTTTATAGAAAGGGATAGTTATAATCGTTTGACTTAATTAGTCGCAGACGTGATTGCCACGATCCATCTTATCCGAGCGGATTCCGCACGGAAAAAAAATGATGAAACTTTTACTTCTTTGAAAGAGAACAAACGGGACGTGTATTTTCTTAAACAAAAATAATTTGCCAAATCGGTTTATAATGAATTTTTGGTAACAAACATAAAAAAACGGCCTTAATGACATGCATTTTCAAAGGGTTAATTAACTCTACAAAAAATATTTTCAGCCTTCGATTAGCGTTTATCGTCGGAAGTAATTTTCGTGTGTATGTTAATTTGCATAAACATGTTCTTAAATACAGTTTTAAGTATGTGGGTTGTCGGTGTCGTCGGCGCCATATCGATTCAGATATTATGCAAATGTGCGTCAGCGCCGAAATACCAACTAATGCGTAGTACCATTGTCGTGCAAATACCGCAACTAACAGACTGAGGACACACACCCAAGAATATATTTCTTCTCAAGATATGGTTACTAGTCTTTGGCGCTTGAATCAGATACCAGATGTAAGATTCAGGAATGTTAGGAATCTCTTAAACTAATAATATATTCGAGACTGACATCTGGAATTCTTACAGGTATCGGCATTCGTTTTCATAGTTTGGTTAATTTCTCACGAATTACCAATAAAATGACACTTGCTCTGTCTTATCGTGTCGTGTCCAATGTCTACTTTCAACCTAAAAATAACGAGGATGGGTGATCTACTCCATCAATTGTCGATAAAATGAACCTCAGAGTAAGCTTTTTCAGAAAGGATATTAAACCTTAGTAAAAAAAAATACAGTGCAGTTATGTTTAACTGCAATATATAAAGTTTGTTTTTTACCACATTCACACAACGTCATCTAGTCCCAAACTAAGCAGAGCTTGTACTATGGGTACTAGACAACTGATATAAATACATATATTTTAAATAGAAACATCCAGACCAAATCAAACATTAAATCTACATGCACACAAATGTTTGACTTGAGCGGGAGTCGAACCCGCGACCTTTGAATAGCAGTCCGTTACACAAACCACTACGCCATCCGGTCGTCAACTTCAAATCAATCAATCAAACTTGAATTTTGACAACGCAAGCTTTGACTATCCTTTCGAAAATAATTCGTTATTTGAGTATGTTTTTTGGCCATCAAGTGGCGTAATACATGTAGGTAATCATGGCTGGACTATGTATTTAGATTATTTTAATTAAGACCTTAACCTAGTAATACTCCCGGGAAACATTTAAAGGCAAATGGATTACGTTTCCCTCAGTTGTATCTTCTCGTTAGCATACTGGTATCCTGGAAATACAGTTTAATTATTAGCCATCACGTGATGTAATAAAGCTGAATTATTGGACGAATCTTAATCTATCAGTATTAACTTGGAGTTGCCAAGATACCCCGTGGGTAACTTCACTTAAAAAATATTATTTTTACCGAATAACATTTACGAAACTGCAGTACTGAGATATGAAGGCTTGGATTCAATATAGTTCCAATTTGCCATATAATCCCTAAAGTGCTATGTTGACGGCAATAGGCTTTTTTTCTTTCTTTTCTTTTCCTTTTAATAAAGACAACTCCCGCAGTAGGAATAAATCCTGTGGCCCCGGGGACTTTACAAACCTTCATGAAACGGACACAAAGAACACCCGGACAATTTGTGGATCGTGGATCGAAAGTGTTGTTCCGTGTGGGGATCGAACCTACAACATTCAGCGCAGCAGGAAGCTTCCCCGCTATAATTTGAAGTAGAACTAATAGTTTCCAAAATGTGGCAACTCTAGTCTTTGCTTGCGAGCTTGAAAAGCTCAATTTTAAAAGAAACATTTATATTTATTCCGTTTATCTGTACCTAATTTTTACATTACTGATATCCAATGTTGTATTTTTAATGATCACATCACGCAATCTTCAATAATAAGTAATTCACGCTTGACATCTGGTTACTATCTCTAGCTGGATTAATTCAACTAACATCTGTACCAAACATTATTTCTTTTACTTAAAGATTTGTATTTATTATTAACATAGAATGAATAAACATTGTTCGTGTTGATCACCACTGTGATCTATTTGACGACA